TTTCAATTTTCTTTATTTTAATTATATATGCACTAGAAAGAAGTAATAAAGTAAAATTTTAGTTTAATAATTTTTTTTTTCATATTAAATTTTAAAAGTGTTGGCTATAGGATACAAAATTGTCGTCACAAAAAATTGTTACGAAAATTCAATTCTAATGTAGATTTAACTTGCTTTAGTTTGTCATACCTGTAACGCGTATTTTGGAATAAAGCCCCGAATTTATTGTAAATATTAAAAAATATTTCCATAATTGGAACTACAAATTAATTCTCAGATATTGAATTATATACCCGTAGAGAGAAATTTTACTCACATATCGTATATCAAAATATTTTATGTAAGGAAACTCTTTTAAAATACTTATAAAATTAAATATATATGTACTTAAAATAGTCCAATTGTTGAAATCAAATTCCCTATAAATAACGCAGGTCGATAAATGCATAGACAGGTAAATACATGAGTAAATTTTTAAAAAATTACCCACAATGTGAATATTGATTTCTAAAGTGAACAAAAAATAGTTGTATGTACATTTTTTAAAATTGTAATTTAGTACTCGTATAAGAGTTATTCGCTAATGAATTAAATATAAACATATTTGAATTTGTCCGATTTCCTTGCTCATCATTTCTGTTGTCCACTGTATAAGCAAAACCGAAAATATAAATCTTTATATTAGCATTTTTTCTAAGAAAATTTCATATAAAAATAATATTAATATGAATTCGTTTAGAGTTCAAGTCTAAAACTTTCTAGCTGCTGGCAAAAATTGATATCAATTTTTCCAAATAACACTTGACAAGAATTTTGTAAAAATACGTTTCGTTCTACTTCGGATCCAATAATAATTTTGTATGGAAATTTATGTTTTATTTTTATACAGAGTAGTCGGCAAGTATCATTCAAACTCCTGGGGCGGATGACTCCTTGCAGTTTATTTTAGTAAACAAATTGTTCATTTAGGATAGTAACAAATTGTTAGCATTTGCTCAGTAAAAATACCTATAACTGTAACGTCAATGGAGGATGCTTTGAGCAACAGGTACTTAAACATGAAATTTTAAGTTAGATTACAGAAAATTTTTCAAAAAACGTTAATTCGCGCTATGTTGTTTGTGAAAAAGTGACACAATGTGATTCCCAACTATAATGTGCTTATTTCAACTACATATCACAATTTTATTTTAATATTTAGAATTTTTCTATCTGTTGAAAAATATATGAAATATGCCAAAGGAATTTTTATATTGCCATTTTCAAAATTTCAATAAATAAATGAAGTGCATTATTTGCTTAGTTTAAGAGATATTTAATTACATATACTTAATTATTTCATGAATGAAGTGAATAAATTGTCACTTAATTGCATAATAAGAATTAAAAATTTCATATATATGGTATGTAAGTACTTAAAGCTTTAAAAATTTACTTTCATTATTAAAATTATTGTTAGCATTTGTAAAGTATTTTATTTCATTGTAAAATATTTCATATAATAAATGTACATTATAATTAAAAATAAATTAGAAAGTTTTTTTTTCATTTCGATAAATAATGCCACAAAGTATTTTAAAGTGTCGGCATACTAAAGATTCTTTGTGTTTTAACAAAAAGAATAATAAGAAATTCTTAAAAGAAATTATGATTTCTTTGACCGGCATGAAAATCAAATGCAAACTTAATAATTAAAAAACAAAGAAAAAAAAATAATTTGTAAAATCAAATTGAGTGATGTAATTTTCATAATAATTAATTTCTTATACCAATAACTTCAATTAAATTGATTAGAATATTAATTTTGTATAAATGTTTGCATTTTTATTTTATTGATTGTAAAGCTACATACATATATAACATGTTCGTATGCACATATGACATAAAATAATTATACTTTGAAATAAAAAATAAGTACACAAAGAATGACACATGCTTGTCACAATACATAAGTTATTTACTTAGGCACTATAACCAGGGTTGCCAAATCTGGAGTAAAAACACAAAACTTGGGATTTTCATTGCTGTCGGATAATAATTTAAGTAATTTTTATTTTGGGTAATTTTGTGTAATTTTAGTTTTTGTGAATTTAGGTTGAAAAATTATAAATTTTAGGGTAATTAGAAAAAATCTAAAAAGTTTTCAATTGCAAAAAAAATTTTCTTTTTAAGAAAATATTCAATTGCAATTTTTTTGTAAAAATTGTTTTTTATTATTTGTCATGTAAACGTCATTTTTATTCTTGGGTAAACAGAAAACTGATTTTAAACTTTGTTTAAATTCTGGTTGGTCCCTTACGAAAAAATGTTGGACACTTACACTAAAAATTTATTTAAATTTAAAATTTTTTTTTAAGTTTCAATCTTCAAATGGTTGATAAACTACTCTACAAGCGGTTGAACGTTTTCAAAATTCTTGAAGAAATCAAGTTGAATAGAACTAACTAGAACAGCACTAGAGTTATAAAAAAATAAAGTGATTTAAACCTTTTTTCGAGCAATTTAGCATTTTCTATTTAGCAACCCTGACTATAACTGTCATTATATAGTATTTATTTTTTTTTTAAATAGATTGCTGTCTTTTTCTTAAGATTATAAACTTTTATAGTAATAATCTGATAATTGTAAATATTTTTATTGAAATAATTTTGTGCAAATAATAAAGTATTTCGCTGTACATACATACATATATTGCTTATAATAATAACATAAAAATGAGAAATAAATTTAACTGATAGCGAAAAAATTAAATAGATGTGATCAGCACACAACTGCACCGTATTCTAAAGAATATTTTTATAAAATCGGGTAAAATTATTTTTATTACTTTAGCTATAGAGGATCTTAATGTATAAGATAGTTGAAAAGCCTTTAAAAAAATATTTCAAATTTGGGAGCTCGGCTTTTCAAATCTATTTCTCAATGTAGAATGTATTCTCAATGTATGTTTCCTGTTAAGAGATTATGTCGTATATATGCGTCAATTTCAAAAGTTCGTGTCTTAGTTAATGTCGTACATGTGCGTCAAGCCCATAGATTCATATAATGTACTCCTATAATGTGAGAATAAAGATGTCTGTGGTCATGCCGAAAAAGAAAATTGCATTTGCTATGAAATTTAAAGTTAAGCAAAAAACGAAAATTTCCCTGTTAATAAAATTTCGTAAATACGCGTCTTCGCTTGAAATTAATTCAGCACAGTAAATCGAGTTGTCTAAGAAAAACTAGCTTAACAGATTAATAGTAATTGTTTCCATGCCCTGAAGTTTGCTATTTTCGCTTAAATGTTAAATATACACTATGATAGATATATGTACATATAATTTTAAGGTGTTATGCATGTATAAAACTAAAGTGACATAATAAACCCGTCGCAAATGCCATTCAGCCGAAAAAAGAGATACAGAAATGCACATTGGAATCTAGATATTTATGTCAAATTTAATGTGATCGCAATACCTCTCTTATTGCATGTACATATGTAATATTACGGATAGCAATTTATTATACTTAGCAATGTGTGTACCAAACATAACTGTAATTTTGTATTCTTTAAGGGCAATTTTAAAATCATTATCTATGAAAGGTTATCACAGGTATTATCTGCTTTCAATACAGTTCATTAATTCAATTTGTAATCATTGATTTATACAACACTTTTGCAATATACGATCAAATAATGATTATTATAAGGAAAGGGTTAATTAAAACTTCGATTCTTTGAAACCAAACGTTTATAAAACATGTTTATTATATTATTAATGTTATACAAATTCTTATATTCTTCTGAAATACATATCTTCTACATTCTTCTTTATGAAAAAATTTAAATATATAAGAAATTTATTTTTAAAATTTTACTCTGTTACTAAAGAATTTTATGGTGTGCGTTTATTAATAAATATTACGAAAAAGTAATGAAAAGTATTTTATATTATTAAAGTATATACAGTAGACCCCAGCTTATATGAACTAATTAATGTCAGGAGGAGGGTAGAGAGTTGTATAGGTATATAATCAAAGTAAAAAAAGGTATTTAACATGCTACTTATAATAATTAGAATAGTTATTTGATTGATTTTAAAATAACATTACACTTGTAGCCATTATAATAATAATAGGATATTTCCTAATTTTTCTGCAAAGCTTAACTCATACAAGAATTCTCTATGATTCACTGCTGGGAAATTGGAGCGTAGACTATAAATGTAAAAACTGGAGTGTGAGATTGTTGGGGTGCATTAAAATTTACCAATTTGCTATATTTTGAACTGTATGCTAATAAAAGCTGGTTTCAATAACTAAAATGTGCACATATAAATTATTGAAGCAGGTACTTAAATTTCCTTTCAAATTGGGTTGACTTTTTTTAATACTTATGCAAAATATTTAATAAAATATAATTTCGGAAATTTACTTTGACCTAACATTAATTTGAAATTTAATTACTCCCTACATTAATCAATTCAAAAATTTGACTTAAATACGTTTTAAACTTGAATTAATATTCACTATAAGAACTAGTGTGTACTAACGTTGAATATTACGAGTATTGCAATAATTCATTAAAAATTTAACACTTAATTTTCAATAAATTCGTTGATAATAAACCGCTTTAAACCTAATATTTCTGCATTATAGCAGATGCATTTTAAGAACTGGTTATAATTTAAATAATTCAACTTAACTATTTTGTAAATATTTCTTCTTTTGTAATAAATAGAGAAAAAGAAAAATAAATAGCAAGAAGAATACGGTATATCAGATTAGTGTAAAGGTTAAGTAAATTTTGTTATTGTTTACTCTACCTTGAACATCACATAAGTATACACATACAATAAGAACAACAATAATACTAAATAATATTTTATATCCACAAAATTATTCTTATTATCCGTAAATATTATATAGATATAAATGTATAATTCAAAGGACAAAATGTTATACGTAATTCATATAAAAAAGAGAACAAAAATATTAAAAAAAAAATATTGACTTACGGTTGTGGTGGTGGATTAACAATTTTAAGAAGTTCTGTTGGTGAATTCGGTACATGTCTTATAACTAATTTTCTACCATCCGTTGAACCAACTCCAATTGATGCTAATGAACGTACTGAATTAGCATCTGAAAATATTTTACCACCAAAATGACTACTAATTGGTGGTGTTAAATATGCTATCGTATTTGTTTGTGGAGAATTTTTATCTTTTTCGTCAAATATATAGGAACTTGTTCGTAATATTCGATGATTATGGCTTCCATTTGCTTCTGAATGTACTGACATCTGTTGAAATTGAAGTTGATCAGCAATATTATCTGGTATATGTGCTGTTTATGTTTTTTTTTTATTTGGTTTTTGTTTTTTTTTTGTTTTATATTTTTTATTCATATATATGTATGTATATATTTTTATTCAATCATTTTTTAAAATATGTATAAGTATTTCATGAAATTCATATGGCCAAAAATAAATAGAAAAGAAAAATACAAAAAAAAATAAAAATAAAATTTGATAACAAAACACTTTAAAATTTTAATACAAATTTTTTGTGGAAAACAACAAAAACAATAAAAATTTAAGAAACTATTATACTTTATAAATGATTTTGTACTATAAAAATTAACAAAATTTTAAATTTTATTTGAAATAAATTCACTTTTAATTAATAAATTACAAAAAAAAGGAAAAAAACAAAATAAATCTAAACTAAAATGTACTAGACAAAAACTAAGTTCAAAAACACTAAAATATTTTACGAGTAAGTGTTGCCAAATTTTTTAAATTTTTTTCACAGAGTGGAGAATAGTTTGTAAGAGAGATAGATATTTTGTAGACAGTGCAAAATATTTTGTTTAATAAAATTTCTTTTCTTATTTACTGAATAAATAAACACGACGACACGTAAAAAATTTCATAAATTTTAATTACAGAAAACTCATTATTAAAAAATTTAATAAACTATAATTACTGAATTATAATGTTTAATCATGCATTTTTTAAAAGTTGAGCATTTTCCACAAATAACTTGTCTTCACGAATTTAAGGAAGAGCAACCTGAATTATAGGAATTCAATAATACTTAAATACTGAGAAAAATTAGTTAATTTAAGGCACGTAGTGCACTATCCTAACACAGCTCTAATGAATATATTTTACTAATAATGTTATAAAGAATGAATTAAATATTTAAATTCAAAATCAAAATTCTCGGAATATGAGCATTTCATTTAAAATTTGTAAATTGTAATCAAAATCCGTAAATTTTCTATATATGTACAAACTAATAGTATAAACAGTAAATTAAAATCATAAAGAAAAATGGCAAATAAATATTATTGAAAGAAATTATAGAAATTTCTATTGGATTAATCTCATTAGATGAAACTATGTTATATCATGAATTAATTTACATGAAATAAATCGTTTACTAATTTCCTACCAGTTTCGAATGAGAATCAATAAAAATTTTGATTTTAAGTGAAAAGAAATTAATTATTCATTTTTTTTTCACGATTACTTTCAGTCAATAATTATTGTGAATGAGCCACATTTCAATTGTTAAATTATTTAAAAATTTTAATATCCAATGAATCATTTTTAAACTTTGAAATAATGTATATGTTTAGCTATTTCATTTTATTATAATTAAAATTTTATTTCAGTACTTTAAAATAAAGACAAGTGTAAGATAATTTTATAAAACAGAGAAAGCCCTAATCAAACAAATACTTTGTATTCAAAAATTTAACAGCTTGAATTTTATCATATTTTTAAAATTAAAAAATGGCAACTCTATGATAATTTTATATTTTGACATTCTTGAAAGCACTTCGTAATTTTTTGTTTTTTCATTTTTTGTTTTTTTTTTTTGGGAACAAGTAACGGGTTGTGGAGACTTACTGAATTTGTTTAAAAATTGCTTGATGCGAAATTAAAATATTGCTTTGTTATTATTAATATAAATTATTTAAATAATAAATTACAAAAAAAAAATACTTAAAAAAAAGTAAACTAATATTTTGTAACACAAACGATAAAAATCGATACTTCAAAATGAAATTAGATAAATTGGATAAAATTAGATTAAAAATAGTATACGAATTATTATCACTACTATTAATCCTGGCAATTAACTAAAAAAATATAACGGTAATTATTTAAGACAACGCTTTATCAGATTTGACAACGCGCGCGCACGGCTATTCAAATCTAACAAAAGCTCAATTAAAACTGTTAAGCTTTTTTTTATTACTGCATATTATAGGCGGACGAAACTAAAGTGAAATTTTTTTTTTTACTTTTTTATTATCTATTTATGCTTTTTTTTGTTTCACAGTTAATGAATATCGCATAAAAGATATATGTATGTACGTGTATTACACTCAAAATGAATGTACACATGTGTACATACAAATAATAAAAAAGAACAAATGATACTTTAGCGCCGAGAAGTATAAAAAAAAATCTCAGTTGCTTTTAAGCAAAATAATGATAGTAGTAAAGAATAACGGTAATTTTCAATTTACAACTACATTTATAGTACATTTACATAATTGTATATGTATGTATGTATTTCCTAACATTTTATTTCTCTTTTATTGTTTATTTGCATTGTGTATGTACTTATATACTCATACCTGATACAACTGATCTCATACTAATATTCTGATTTTTTGGCCGATATTTTACAACCCCTAATGCATTATGACTTAAAGAACTTGAAATTGTTGGGAAATTGCAATAACTAATAATATGATTTTCACCAGTTGTACTAACACCAATTATTGGATTTTTTATATGTGTTGAATAAAATGATGTTGGAGAATTTGTACGATTTAATAATAACATTGATGAAGTTGAATCTGAGATATGTTGCTGAGAATTTCTGTTGCTTGCAACTGTCATTAAATTATTATGTGATGAATCAAATGAATTATAAGCTTTTAAATTTGAATTTTGTAAATTTATTGTAGTAGCAACAGAATTAGTTGTTGAATTAGATGCGATTGTGATACAAGGTAAATTACTATTATTAGTGGTTGGAGAAATATTAGAAATTGAAGCAGTTAATGCTGTAGCTTTTAATGTCGCCATATCGACTAGTCTATTGGGATTTTGTCTTTTATTATGATTAATAGCATCCGATTCTTGTTGATTATAATAATAATACTGTTGTTGGTTTTGTTCTTGTTGCTTTTGTAGTTGCTGTTGTTCTTGTTGTTGCTCTTGTAAATTATCGGCATTAGAATTTATTATTTTTGTATTAATATTAAGGTTATCATTTGTAATTGAATCGTTTTTGAAATTGTTATCATCATCACCAACTATAAAAACAGGTTGATGAATTGGAGACATATTAGATCTTACATTATAAAAATTAATATTATTTTCGTTGCTTTGGTAAGTTGCTAATGTCGATGGTAATGAATCTAAAATATTAACAAATATTTTTTAAAATTATTGAAAAATAATTGTTTTATATGAAATATAAACATTTACATAACATAATATTTGTTTTACACATAAGAAAGTGATAGAAAAGTGAAAATTGAAAGAAAAGTGCGCATTTTGTTTGTATAGAAACTATTTGAAAAATTTAATAATCAAAAATGTTCTCACAATGACAGAGTAACAATGGTTAAATACCTTTTGTTGCATCCAGGGAAGAATGTCTCCGGTTCAATAATTTGTAATATTTACATAATGTGCTTATATAATGTGTTTTAATAAATACAAGAACAGATAAAAATATTTACATTGTAGGTAGTTAATAATAATTTTAATTTTAATTATTATAAATATATTTCAACCGGAATGCAATTTATTGTGCTGCACAAGATAAATCTCAAAATGCAATTAAACAATATGAAACAAGAATGAATTTAAAATGATTTATTCATGAATTTCTACAAGCTGATAAAGATATAAATTTTTAGTACAGTTTAATTATTTCATAAAAGTATAAGCCATATGTATGTATGTGTGTAATTATTATCTATGCAAATTTAAATTTGAGTAAGGTAAAACGATAGAACAGTTTTGACAAACAGCACATTTTTTCGACGAATAAAATTTAAACGGATTTTGGAAAGGAAAATTAGGTACTATACTCGTATATGTTATGTAAAAAAATAAAATATGTAAAAATAAATACATTAGTGCAATTAACATGAGCAAAGACAAAGTTTATGTAGAGGAATTTAAGAAACTTACATCATTCTAAATTTTAACTTAAAAGATTCATAGGTTTTTATTGTGGCAAATGCAAAATTTGAAAATGATTAAATGCAAAACTGAAATACTAATTCAGTTAGTATTTTGAGAAAGCTTAAAGGGTAGTTTGTTACATGCATATTGTGTTAGTTGTATCACTTGAGGTGATAGAATATTATTGAAATAAATTTGTTCTTCAGCATAGAATTTCGAATTTTGGAATTGATTTTATTCAGGAAATACCAATATTTTTGAAAAACAATCCATCACGTTAAATGATGCGGCTAACAGAATATGGGTGTTGGTTAGGATTTTGTAAACTTACAAACATTATAATAGGTAGATTCTTTATGAAATAATTCTGTGGAAAGACGGACAACACAGACAATTAAATTAATTTTAAAAGCTAAGAATGACTGGATGTACGTGGGATATAATAGCTTTATTTACAGATTTTTATGATTGATATGGGAGGAAAATTTATCACACTTATCACAATAATTTAAAATTCAAATTACTTCTAAATGCTTCTGATTCTATAGAGTTTTCTCATTCTTTAAATTCATTTGATAAAAAATTCTTCTTAATTCCTTTCTTAATTTTTAAATTGTTGCACATAAAACAACCATAAATATAGAAAATTATGACAAATTATAAATGGAAAAATACGCCTGTTTTTTAAATTCAAAATTTAGTCTTAAAACCGGTTTTTTTATATTTTCAATTGTTTTGTAAGATTTTTGTTTTTAATTATAGTGTCTGGAATATCTTGAACCATGCCTTTCAGGTGCGTATAATCAGATTACTTTGAAAGAGGATGGTAAGTTGCGTGTCAGTATAGCGTGTGTGCTATTTTATTGTTTAGAAGAACGGCTTTCCAATATTATAGAAGAAGTTTGTTTAAAATTTAGATTGTTTTTTGTTGTGACTGCAGGCAGTACAAATCTTATCTTCCTACTTAGATAAAAAAAAACACGTAAGTATGCGTCTATCAATTACGAATCTAGTTTGGCATTTATAAAATAAAATTAGTTTCGTTATGACTACATTCATTTAAAGTATAGACCAAACAACTACCAGACTCAACAACTACGTAAATTAAATACTTAAGAACTACGTAAATGGAAAATATGGGAATTTATTTAAAAACAAAGTGTTCAAAAATATGAAAGCGAGGAAAACTTTGTAATACAACTGCAGAATAGATGTTTGAAAAGTTTAATTTTTTCACACCTTTGTTGTTATCTCAGTTGGTAAGGGCGTAAATCTAGAAAAAAAGCAGGTCATCAGTGCGAGTTCAGTTCAAGGGAAAAACAAATTTTTTTATTTTTCTTCTTTGATTCGATTGTTTGGTTATATCGCCAATTTGTTCTGCGTTATTATTACAAAGTGCTTAGGTAATTAAAATCTTCTATTATGAAAATGAACCCAATTGGCTTCAAAATAACTTTTTTTAAGAATCTGTTTAAAACCAATTTACATTTTCGAATTTATGTTATTTCGTTCCTTTTACACGTTCTTACTTTTTAAGGCGATTTTTATACACATATTGTAATTCACATCACTATAGACCTTTTATTTGTGATTTTCCAAGTTTTTTATTTCTTAAAAATTATTTATGATAAATATCAAAATTAATATTTATAGTTTAGGTTTTTACACGAATTGTTTAGATTTTGTATATAAAAGAGTACTTGCGTCAGTATGAGCAATAATTTGCAATAAAATATCGATGGGTCGATGAAATAAACTCTAATACTATTGAAAAATGAGAGCATATCTACAAAAGAATGTGTGCATATTGCAAGTATAGAGAGATGTAAAGCTGAATTTGAATTAATAATACACTTTACATCTTAATACAATGCATTTTATAAATTTAGAATAGACAAGAACAGTTTAAGTTAAAAGTTAATGAAATTAACTAGTTTTAATTCTTTTTAAATTTTATTTTTTTATTAACTTACCCCTATAATTATGCGGTGGTATAATATCGTTATTATTCAGGCTATTTATAAAATTTTCATTATTTTCAATATTACAGCTATCACCAACAATAAATTGTACGCTCGGATGATCAGATGAGGGAGGATGATGATGATCAGTTTTTTGTTTAAATAAATTTATAGCATTTGGTCCAGATAATGTTGAACTTGTTGAATCTGGTACAGATATTGAACTAAGTGATTTTGTATTCGATGATATTAATGAATGTGGAATCCTATTATAACTTGAAGATGATGATGATGATGATGTTGATTTTAATGTTCTTCCAAATGATTTACTTGGTGAAATTGATCTTTCAGCTATAGGAGAATTAGCTGGTATCACAATAAATTTTCGATTTTTCGATGATCTTATTAATTGTTGAGGTTGGTATTGTTGTTGTTGTTGATAATGTTTTTGATATTGATGTTGCAGTTGTTGGTTATATGGCTGAGAATGCTGGTTTTGATAATAATATTGAGGATGATGATGAGGATGAGAATTATTCAATGATTCAGAGTTATTATGATAATGGTGATGATGATGGTGATAATGATGTTGTTGTTGTTGTTGCTGCTGTTGTTGTTGTTGTTGCACTAATTGTGATTGTATATATTTTTGATATAAAATATCCGATGATTCTTTTTCCTCCTGTTGTTCTATTTGGTTTTGTTGTTGAAGTTGTTTTTGATCACCATTTAATATAATTGATTTTTGTATATCAGTTTCGATGAATACATCATTATTTTCGATATTATATAAATTATTAGAACTAATATTAGATTTTAAATCATTATTATTTTTATTATTACAAAAATCTTCAACAAATTGCATTTCATTATTTTCATTACTACTTTTATTATTGCGATGAAAATTTTTTTCATCTGAACTTTCATTATGATTTTCATTATTATCACTTTTATTAATTTTCGTTATTGTTGTTTCATTATAAGCAGAAATATTTTGTATTGTAATAGGCATTTGTACTGTATTAGAGTTGTCAGAGGAATGATATAAAAAGGGTTGACTTTTTGAAAATCCTTTTGAAATCTCACTACTTGTTGTACTAGAAAGTGATTCACCACGTGCTAATGGTGCTGCCGATGTTATTAATGGATATTTTAATTGTGTCGCTGAAATTTGTGTTGGTATAGAGGCTAATGATGTTGTCTTAGTAATAGACACCTGATTTTTTATAATCTCACTGTTATTTTCATTCATTTTTGGTAATATTTTTTTTTTTAATTTTATACTAACTATTTACTTTTAAATTTAGAACTAAATTAGAGCTTTTGTAAAATAATAAAAAAAAATAGAAGAACAATAGCTAATGCAGTGTTTATATTGAATACTTGTATGTAAAACACGTTTATACTTTTTATTTTTTGTTTTAATATTTTTGTTATTAATTATCACATTTTTATGGTTAACTTATTATGCTTTGGATGAGTTTTACAAGAAATTATCACATTTTGTTTTCTCATATTATATTTAGAATATTTCATTCTTTATTTCTTTGGAATATTGGTCGATTTTTGGTATTTGTTACTGAAAATAAAAAATTATTTGTTTGATTAGTTTTTATAGAATTTCAAAACTAGTGGCTGTATTAATTATAACAGTATTTAAATTAAATATATCACAGTTATTATGAAATTATTATTATTAAATTAATAAATTCTTAATTTTATTAAAATTAACTCGAATTAAGATGGTAACCGTTTTCATAGCGAGGCATAACCTTTAAAAATGAATTAAATGTAGAGAGTAATCCAATTGTCACGAAATTTTTAATCATATCTTATCAAATTTCATTTTAAATATTCTCAAAGTAAAATTATATATAAACATATGTGTATATACAAATAATATGATAATTTAAGATTAGAATATTCTTTTTTGTCTGTTAATAAACAATTTTTGTTTTTTTTTTTAAAGTTCACTTACAAATTTATCAATTTCTTTAATAATACAATGTTATCATAATTTATTTATATAAGATAATAATATTGTCAAAAAGATTTCAATTAGGAAGCTATACTTTACAATACAAAATAATATTATAATCAAATAAATAAATTGACCTCATATTATCTATTCATGATATTAATTTTGGTTAATAGTTTTGGTTTATGGTCAACATTTTACAAAATGATAAATTCTATTTTGATTATATGACAGACAATTTGTTCACATTGTAGGCAATTTATAATAATATTAAAGACTTTTTGACAAAAATAAGGTCATAACTTTCATTAATTATATCAGACTTGCGAAAGTGGTATGTTTGTTAAATTTGTGATTTTAATAATTCTGTTTTTATAATAAAATGTTGTTTTCATAACAAGTAAGAGATGAGTTATAGTCCAAACTTATATTTTATAAACTAATTTTAATTTTTAGAAAAAAACACAGATCTGAGAGCAGTCTTACTTATACGAATATTAAAAGAACCAGAATTAGAATTAACTATACGCAACATATTAGTCATCAGCTCATTTCAATCATAATCCATATTGTAATGATAAATATCCATATTGTAATGATAAAAAAGTTCAACCGGTCTTAAACTATACAAACTTTTTTAAAAAGACAAATGATTCAAGCAAAAAAGATGAAACAACATTAACCAAAACAAGTTTATGAATAAAGTTTTTTATTGGTAATTACCCTACCAGAGCCCAATGTTCCCAAATCTATTTAATAGAATAGATTATATTGTTAAGGTGGCAAGTTGACGTGACTCGACCAACTTAATACACGCAATGTGAAATGGGCCGGTAAAGCGCCTAAACCTGATATGCGTTCTCCAATATAGGCCTTGCATATAATAAATAAGATAACGAAAAATAAAGATGTTTCTCAACGAAGAGGTCAGAAAATTGATTTGATTATCTCGTAAAGAAATCTAATCCAGAATTCTACTTATTTATGACCATGTTAATATGGGCGTTATAGTCAACCCTCTGGTCAAGCATGAAACAAAATAAAATTTTATGTTTCCCTGCATTACTTGAATTGAAATTCTGAAAGTTTTTATTCTTTGATGTGATTGATGTTTCATTAGAGTGTATATTTCATTGAGAACGCTTTCTAATTTAAATGGTTAATACTTAATAAAATGATTATAAATATGTTATAATTTCAATTAATTATGTGCAAAAGTGTTAACCACAATACAATAACATAATAATATCATAAAAATTAATCGATTTCTTTAATAAAATCAAGTGACTTTTATTCTCATAAAATTTAAAGAAATTCTTTCTTCCCTAATGAGATACAATATGCATATGTATACTAACACGATGGTTTTGCTATGAAATTCTGCAAATATAAACGTTATTTCCGAAATTAAAGTTTATAAATAAATAAGATATACACATACATATGTTGCTATTTATACTTAACATAATGCAATTTCAAAATCTTTCTAATATGTATTACAACTGCATTAGATATTTGTGCAGTGGTAAATGAATAAAATTTTTACTTATGAAAAAATTGCATATGTTTCGGCGTAATTTTTTTTTATACATAATTCAAAAATAGCTATAATATTTTGCAACAATGTATTTGATTTCACTATAAAATTTTCAAAGTTTTATTGTTCTTTTAATTTATTCCAAGATTTTAATTCTTTTGAATAAAATAATTTTTATGTTAAATAGAAATTTAATGCAAAATTTAAATTTGATTCTGTTTAATATTTATTAACAACAAAATGTAATAATTATGTAAAATAATATTTATAATAGGGTAAAAACACTAAGAATATTTTTAATAAATATTTGAACAAATATTTTAATAATTTTAACAAATCTCAACTTTAAAATATATTACATAACAATAGTTTTAAAATCTTGTTTAAATTATTTATAAATCAGAATTATGTGCCTTGAAATGAAGTTAAAATTTAATGAAAGGAAATTAAGCCTTGTTAAAAAAGAAAACAATTTTCAATTCGTAAATTTCAATAAAGAAAAAGTCATAAAATGTTTGAAATTTCTTTAAGCGATTGTTTTTAGAACAGTGTACTGATAACAAAATTTTGGTCTCGCCTATATATATGCAATTTTCTCATAATATATTTTTTTGTACGCTCATATTATTTACGATGCTTTTAGTAATAAAACAATTTTTCAAAATAAAAAAAAAATTAACACAAAAAGAAAATCACTGTTTTGAAAATCAGTTAATGACTTTTGTAATATTTCTTCAAATATAGATCACAGAATAAATGAATTCGGTCGTAAATAAATAATAAAATTTAAATATAAATTTTGAAAAAATAGGACATGTGATAAGAGCAAAATATCTTCTTGTCAAACTTGCATACGACGTGTTCCATAATTTTATATACATTCATATATTCTTACGAATTAAATAAAAAGTAAATCCATAAGAAAACATAAAAAAAAAATTCAATTACTTTTAATAAAATTCCTTGCTAAATTAAATAAATATTTATAAAAGTAAATAAGCTAAACACATTTTATCTTTTTAATAAATTACAATTATAATCAACTTGGGCTCCAAATACGAAAAAAAAAAAATGAAAATTGTCTTATAAATTATTATGACCTAGAGACACTAAGTGTACTATGATTATAATTATCTTCTATTTACTGACTCAATTTTATACTCATTTATAGTGTTAACAATTTTTTTTTTTTTGTTATCTGATGAATTACGTACATAAAGTAGAATATTTTGAATAGGTAATATGTGAAATTTTTGAAAGATTCAGTTGAAAAATTAAAATATTATCTAATAGAAAATGATTCGAATAAACAGGAAGAAAGTACATATATGTAATAGGAATTTTCAAGTTTTGAATTTAATAATTTCAAAATGTAATTGTACTTTCTTAGAATAGGTTCCAGTATTTATGACAATTTTTCAATATAGTAAAAAATTAAGATTTTGTTCTTATATTACATGAATATGCTAAAATCTTTAAGCGTTTATAGTATGAAAATGGTGTGATACTGTTTCATCGCGAGTTTTTGGTCCTTTAATTAAGTCCATTAAATATATTACTAGAATCAAAATGTAAGAGCAACCGAATAATAGATGACAAGAAATTTATAAATCAAGAAAAAATGTATTGGTACAATTTGATTCTTGTAAACTTGATGCTTGTAAACTTTAAAAATATTTTTTTAATTTTCAAACATGAGTCAAATGAAAATATTAATGGCTGTCACCTAAACTGTATCGGCAATTAGTAAATTAATTTTTTATTGTAAGGCTTTTAGAAAACTTAATTTACGTTATTATTATGATTCGGTAAAATGTCTTTGATTAAATGGAAAATGACAAAAAATTGGCTTAGTTCAAAACTTCGAATATAAATTCACCCACGACTTGGATTAAGATAGAGAATTCTTTTTGAAAAAAAAAACACTTTATTTATTTACTTTTTTTTAGAGTGGCACTACATAGATATAAAAATCTATTGGATAATCCAATAATTTTATACAATGACCAATACAATACAATTTTATACAATGACCGCAGCAACAACATAAAATGAAATTTGACAATATAAAATTTATTAATGACCGCAGTTTTGTTTAAATGTTAAAGTGAAATAAAAAATATTTTAAGATTATTTTGCAAGTTTCTTGAAATTTTATCTGACTTGGGAAAACCACTGTAAAATTGAATTCAAAAATTTAATATTGTCAAAATTTTCAATAACATTTTTCAAAATAATTTTAATTGATTTTATTAATTTATTTCGCTTCACTAAAATGGTACCTTCAAAAAAAAACTTAAAAACTTAAGTGTCAATAAATTTTTATTTCGTGTATAAAACGGAAATTTCGAAAAAATCAAAATTTTAATGACTTAATTTTAAATTTATAATTAAAATTTTAATTTTATTATATGATCGACACTTAATAAAAATCGTAAAAATCAAAATATAATTTATAATCATTAAAAAATTATGAAAAATTAAAGTTGTTCAATGCATTAAAAGATTATGAAAATTACGTATAATTTTGTTTATGTAGCCGTACGAACGTATGTTCGAAGGGTATTATAAATTTGCAGTTAGTAACGCTAAGCAATAATGATCTAAGATTAGACATTGAGCAATTTTTTTGATTCTGAATCAATTTCTGAAACAATTTAAACATGTCTGTCTGTATGTCAATCCCGGAGCCCTATTTTAATTGAATGCGATCGAATCAGTGCTGTGAAAGTTATTGTCCTATATCTCAGCAAATATCAAAGCAAATATATTATTGGGGTTGGTATGTGTTGAAATTTCTCCGAAATTACATTCTGTCCGATTGGATATTCGAAGGGTATTATAAATTCGTCACTCCTTTTGAAAATATTTGTAAAAAAAAACCAGCGTAATTAAAATCATTGTCTGCCCCATAGTTAGCTATGCAATAATTTTTCGCCTAAAGAATAACAAGTTCGTAAGGGCGTCGCAGAGTTAACATGATCAACTCAATTTTTTTTTGGAAAATAAAATCAATTTATAATTATAATTCTCTTTTATGTTAATCCATTACAAGTGGTAATAA